TTTATGAGTTCAAAACAGGTTCGTAAGCTTTCGAAATGAGCTGTGTGCTTTTATGTATGATGTTTATGGAAACAAGGTTTTAACTATCAGGAAATGAACAGCAGTAATTTATTCCGTTTCGGTCGGGGAATAATAGTGCCAATGATTCCTAGTTTTGGATGACGGCCTTCAATCGATAATAAGTTCGAAACATTAATGAGGAAAATCATAAGCTGACAAGAGATACGTGATGCAACTGTTCCATACAACACATGTTGCAAACATAAACCACCTTTACGTCAGGAGTCCCGTAACCCATTAGAGTCATAGACGGACCACGTGTAAGGCAGCTGTAGCAACAGCAGTCTAAAAATCTAAAAATATTTTCTGACTTTTAATAACCTGCAAAATGTCCATATACCATAAAAATATAAATCAGTCAATCCTGACAGAAAAAGAAACAAAAGGAACCACAAGGTATATATATATATATATACATATATATATATATATGTCCATATCCATATATATATATATATATATATATATATATATATATATATATATATATATATATATATATTCTGTTGTTCCTACTTACTAACAAGGAGAAACTTTTTTCTTATGATGATGGCCATGTTGGCCGAATCTAACCTGAAATTCGTAAAAACGAAAGAATATTAATATATAACCCAGTTTGTCTGAAGATTTTAATTTTTATATTTTTTTTTATTTTCAAAACGTTTATATATATATATATATATATATATATATATATATATATATATATATATGCCTTTTCTTCTTCTTTTTCTTTGGAGAAAGGATTATATCTTGTCATTCTTTCCTCCTTGCTCTTCTTATTTCATTTTCTGTCATCTTTTTCTTTCTTTGACGAGACTATATCTTATCTTACTTTCTTTTTTTTCTCTTCTTTTTTAGACGATTTCTTGTGTCTTTCTTTCTTTATTCATTTATATCTTATGTCTTTCTTGCCCTCTTTCTTTTCTTATTTCCTTTTTTCGCTGGAAAAGAGAATGATAGTAAGTAAATATTAAAAATTGTAATAACTTTCACTTAGTACCTCCTGATGAGATGCTATGATAGGCCTCGAAACATGGATACATTTTATATATATATATATATATATATATATATATATATATATATATATATATATATGTATATTGTGTGTGTGTGTGTGTAAAAAAAGAGCATTTGCTTAAATAAATTATATCTATTAAAATAATGTATAGACAGAAAATATATTATATAATTGTCGGAATGATTTTCAATGTCCATTTCATAAAATGTTATATATATATATATGTGTGTGTGTGTGTGAAAAGTGGGTGTATATAAATATATATATAATTATTTATATATTATATACGCGGTATTTATTAGAAAGCGCTCAATATCAGAGATAGAGCTAACATATTTGGTTGGATTGATGTGAGTTTGTGACCATTTATATATATTTATATATATATATATATATATATATATATATATATATATATATATATATATACATACATATATATATATATATATATATATATATATATATATATATATATATATATATATGCTCCGTATAATCTCATCAACTTTAATATTATAGCAAAAGATGAAAGCCAAGAGCACTTCCATTACAAACAGGTATATACAACTTGTTAAATTTCATATCAAGTTATCTGTATATCTATCGATATAGGAGGATTAATATTACATAGCAATTCAAAACTTTTACTCTATTAAATTTAAGAAAAAAACTACTCAGCAGAACAGATAGTGAGGTAAGGAATACGATGTGTATGAAAAATTAGATATCTATCTTCCTATAACTGTATATTTATTTTTATGGCTGAACTGAAATATTTAGAAGGTCTTAGTGACCATTACAATGCTTCTTTATGACCACCATGCATTCCTGGCCTTGTGGCAAACTACGTTATACCTATTAAATGGTATCTATATAACTATTACTTAGTATGTATAGACCTTATTAAGTGGGAGTATACGCCATTTCCTCTTTGTCGTTGCTACTCGAACACACCTTCTACTTACAAGCTCAATTTAAATTGCGTCTACCCTCTTATTTCTCTTCCCTTCTTTCTTTCTGGACACCACTTATCAACGAGGCGTCTTTAATGTCTTTGCCAAATCTGGCGACAGACAACAAGGCACACAGATAAATGGTAGTTGGTACACAATTAATTCGGTTCAATTTAAGTAAGCAGCCTGGCGTGCAGGTAAATATAAGTAAACGAATCTGATTCATACAAGGTAGCAAGCTGATTACGTCATGATCATGTGATACAGCAGAAGATCTTGTGATGAGTGAAAGGAGTGGTTATGTCTGACTTTACGACTTTTATACCTGGACAGCTCTTCCAGTCTAATATCAATTGAATGGCTAACATCTAGTTTAGTTTCTTCTGATTTATAATGACTTGTAAACAAATTTGAAAATATTCTCTCGGAACGTGGTTTGGGTTGGTTTCTTTTACAGTAT